TTAAGGGACCCAATTGATACATTTCAAAACTCCAGGGACCAAACTATAATTTGTCATTTTTCATGCCAAATGACGACGTTTTGGATCCTACTGTCATCATCTGTTGGCTGAAGACTGATTCAATCCGGCAGATCATGAACAGGGAAAATTCCAGTATCTCGCGCCCACGATCTCTTGCCTCCACGATGCTCGCCATTTCTGAAGGCATGAACACACTAAAAGCCAGAGAAAGGCCTCACAGGAGGGAGGGATTGGACAAAAAACCAGAGAAGAAAAACTTAAGCTAAACCCAAAGGAAAAAACCAGAGAAGAAAAACCCAGAACACAGAGGAAGAAGAGCAGGGGAAACAGGCCAAGAACCAGAGGAAAACAGAGGGGAAGATTAGGAACTGAAACGAAAAAAAAAAAAACAGGGGAAAAAGAAAAAATAGAGACGAACAGGGAGGAACGAAACAGAAGGGGAGGTGAAGTTTTGGCCAGCCACCACACCTTCATATATCATCGTCGTCGTCCAGACTAGCGCTAGCCTTGTCTCCGGTGGCACCACATCCCCCCCCTCCGAACAGACGGACGCGAAGGAGAACAAGGGAGTAAACACAGAGAGGATGTAACACCGGGAACACAAGACGCAAGAACAGAGATAAAGACGAGCAAAAACAGAGGGCCATAAGAGAATGAAACGCACACAAAACAGGGGACACACAAGAAGAAACCAAGCAGAGAAAACCAAAAACAGAGGTGAAGCGAAAGAAAGAAAAAGGCAGAGGAAGAAAGCAACTTGCCGACCAGTCCTCCATCACGTCTCCGTCTCCCTGCCTCCAAGTAAGTCTCTCCAGCTTTGCAAGATAATTCACCCACACTGTACACTTGTAAATTTAATTACATTGCGGCTGACGCACGCCTGCAGGTAAAACTGCCCGGGTCACTGGCTTGGGCGATTTACCAGGTCGGGCTGTCTGAATCCAACCCAGTTCTAAAAAGATAAAAATATAAAAATTTATATATGTATAAATAAAAAAATATAAATATAAATTTATTTTTATTTCATTAATGCTATAATCAAGAATAAAAATATTAATTTAAATTTATTTCATTGTATTTTGTTTAGCTACATAAAAATAAAAAATTATATATGCATAAAAATAATTTTTTATTTATTTATTGACACCAGAGTCAAGAATAAAAAATTACTAATTTAAATTTATTTTTATTTTATAGCTACATAATATTTACTAATATCAACGTTAGAAATATTCGTAGTTGAATATTCACTGGCGCCAGAGTCAGAAATATTATAAGTAAAATATCATAACATAAACTAATGTTTAGCAATTTAACACAAAACCAACAATACAGTTTGCCTCAGACAGAACGTTTAAAGGGTGATAATATCTTTTCTTTTATATAACTAGTCCCGAATCATAGAATCTCTATTAACCAGTTAGGGTTTCTAGTTATCATAATACTAGGTGATGACTCCTTAAACAAGATTGTTCCCCATCAAAGAATAGGATATCAAAAATCCATTCTTTTCCATGATAATTTTTAAGGCCGTTGCAATGTCAAGTGCAATATATTGTATGACATGACCAATACAAACTTTCCACTTCAATGTCCTCGTTTGACAAAGAACAATTATGAAATTTGGTATATTTGTGTGAAAGTTTGGTTAGGTTTCTAAGATGTGTAGGCAAGGGTTGAAAAAGTCTTTAAGAAGCCTATAGAAGGAACAATGTTGACTTTAGCCCAAAAAAAGGTCGTGCCAAATAAGTGAATGAAGGATTAACAAGCACTCACAATTATCCATCAATATGTGGATGATGTCACTTTTCAGATAGTGCCTAATGCAACTAATACTAAGCAAGCATGAGAAGTTTTGTAACAATCAAACCAATAAGCTGACAATGTAAGAAATGTATGCCTACAAAAGTTATGAGGTGACTTTGAAAAGCTATATATGCCTGAATCAAATAGTATTTTGTATTACTTTGTTAGAATATTAACCATATACAATAAAATGAAGAGAAATAGGGAGAAGATAGAGGAAACTAGGGGTGTTAAAAAAAATCGAGCAATTGATTAAACGGAAAAAATCGAGAATAAAATTAACCAAAAAACCAAAGCAGTAGAAAAAACCGATTAAAAAATAAAAAAACCACCCGGTCCAGTTCTATTCAGGTTAAAAAAAACTTAAATCGATTGAACCAGACCAAATTCAACCAGTTTAAAAAAAGTATAAAAAGAATCATCCCTAACCTTAACTAAATCACTTTCCCACTTTCTAGCCGCCAACCCCCCCTCTCCTTTTCCCTTTCCCCTTACCAGAACCCTAAATCACTCACTTTCCTCCCTTCAAGCCTTCCCTTTTCTCCCTTCCTCGCCTTCCCCTTCTAGTTTCACAATCTAGATACGAAGGAACCATTATTCAAGAATGGTTCTCATCACTAGTGAGAACAATGCTTCTATAGAATTACAATGAAATTCATGCGAGAAGAATATAGAGCGGGATAGATCCGTACTGTAACATTGTTTAATGCTCAAACATGAAGGGGCCGAGGAGTATTTTATATATTAGATTAAGCAGAGTCAAGGATTTAATAGCCATCAATGAAATTTTCTCACCTTGAGAACGATGCTTCTATAGAATTACAATGAAATTCATATGAGAAAATCTCAGTAGCTTAGTGATGAAGATGAGTTCGGTTTTTCTAGTTTTTATGTTACAAAATTGTCCCGAACTAAACAAAACTGGTTTGGTTTGAATCAGTTCTTGGTTCGGTTCATGTTATATTAATAAGAAATACTATTTTCTGATTCGATTGAATTTTAGGGTTAAAACTGGACCAGACCAGACCGTGAACACCCCTAAAGGAAACACATATGGTAGAAAATATTCTATGCTTGCTACAAAACAAGTTTCATTATGTGGTGGTTACGATAAAAAACATTCACAAAATATAGGCTTTTTGATTATTTAAGGACTCATGGAAAAACTATAAATCCATAAAGAAAGAGATAATGACATTCAAAAAGACGTGAGTGCACAAGCAGTCTTTTCAAAACACCATTTAAAAGACAGGCAAAATGATTTTGGATATACCTAAGCAAGTAGAGGGCGTGGACAAGGTCAAAAAAGATGAGGAAAAGGCAGATTAGGAAGAGGAGGTTGAGGCAGCCTCAACAAGTCAACCGGTCAACTGAATAAGGCAAGTTGGTTGACAACAAGATCCAAGTTTGATAAAAAAAAAATAAATCAAATGTTACAAATGTGGGATGATGGGTCATTATGTCAGGGATTGTTAGAATCTAACTAAAAAGGTTAAAGAGAATGTCAATCTTGATACGAAAGAGGAGAAAGAGGCCACCTTATTATGAGTCCATGATGAACAAAGCTAGCTAAAGAAAATATGTGGTATCTAGACAATAGTACCAACAATCATATGTGTGGCAATAAAGACTAGTTTATAGAGCTTGATGAATCAATTAAAGGTAATGTCACCTTCGTGGATTTCTCAAAGGTTTCCATAAAAAGGAAATGTATGATTTTCATTAGATTGAAAAATAGTAGCCATCAATTTATTGATGATATTTATTATATCCCAATTATAAAAGGTAATGTATTGAGTTTGAGACAATTATTAGAGAAGAGTTATTAGATTAAGATGAAAGATCATATTTTGACATCACATGATACTCATAGAGCTATGATTGCAAATATAACCATAATAAAGAATAAAATGTTTTTGCTAAACATAGAAATAGATATGCATAAATGCTTAAAAGCATATGTGAAAGATAAGACTTTACTTTGGCATATGATACTTAGACATGTAAACTTCGATAGCTTGGAGATGATGGCATAAAAGAAGATGTTGAAAGGCCTACTATCCATTAGACATCCAAATCATTTGTGTGAAGAATGTTTAGTGGGAAAATAATTTTGCAAGAGCATTCTAAAGGAGTCTACATCTATAGCAAGTCAACCCTATTAAAAAATACATGCAAATGTATGTGGTCCTATTTAATCATGTTTATTTGATAAAAATCTATATTTTATATTTTTTATTGATGATCATACTAGAAGAACATGGGTATACATCTTAAATAAAAAGTCTAACGTATTTAATTGTTTTAAGAAGTTTAAACCGTTAATTGAAAAAGAAAATGATTATTCTATAAAATCACTAAGAACAAATGAGGGTGAATTTCTTTTTAATGAGTTTGTGAAGATCATGGAATAAAAAGACTCTTAATAATATTTAAATTTATGTTATTTACTTGTCAAGTAGATATTTTATAAAAGACTTGAATTGTATTATCTGTATGTAAATAATCAAATAAAAAATAAATTGGATGACTAGAGAAAAAAGATATCTTCGTGGGATATGATCATGAATCCAAAGAATATAAGCTTTATAACTTTAATAAAAAAAATGATGATGTGTAGAGATGTCAAATTTAATGAAGAAAAAGCATGTGATTGAAAACAATTTTTGATTACCACTTCTAGTCAACAACTCTAGAGTAACTGAAAATCATAAGCAGCCCAATTCTTGAAGAACAAATCAAAGATAGGATAGGAAAGGGCTGCCTAACACCTTACATACTCCAAAGATCAAAATTGACTGCTGACTGCAATACCCAGAGGTAATTTCTCTTTTTACTAACTAAACCTATTAAATATGACAACTTTTTCTATTTAAGAATTTTAGGAAACACTACTTCACCTTAATCTGCTGAAATGATCCTTTTCAATTTACCTATTTTGGTGTGTGATTTTAGTAGTGCTAAAATTTGCTTTTGCTCACCGTGAATTCCTAATCCGAAGTACGTTGGTTCTTACACAGCCTCAAGATGAATCTCCCTGTGTTTCCTTTCTCATTTCCGTATTTGGTGCAGGAACATTGTTTGGTTGCTCTCAAAATATTAATTATCTCCAGTTTTCAGTGCTTGCTTTCCGGGATGTCATTGTTGTACCTCTAGCTGCGAGGAAATTGCACAAAACCTGCAAGGAGGTTTGGCTTCCAAACACTGTTGAAACCCTTCTTTATATCTCTTAGATGTTGATCCAAGTCTTCTTTTTTTCTTACCATGGGTAACGAAGGAAAGTGGCATCAGTGATGATGTGAGCTTCGACCAAATTTCATAAAGCTTGCAAAAGATGCCTACACACCTGATCTCATTGCAGCATCGGTCAGAATGATATTTTTGGTAGCTGAACTAAATTAAATGGTTTGAAACAGAAACTTAATGCGATTTCCATTTCTTCAGGGAAAATTGGATATGGCACTGTCAGTGAAGCCCTGGCATTAAAGCTACCATTTGTCTTTGTGCGCAGAGATTATTTCAATGAAGAACCCTTTTGGAGAAATATGCTCGAGGTGCAATAACTGTTTCCAACTGTCATCATAATCTTTTGTTTTCTTCCTTTCTTCCTCTTCCTCTTATTCTTCAGTTCTCTCTGTGGTCTTTTCTTGTAGCTCTTCCACATCGTTTTGATACTAGTGAAATATGATGTCTTGAACCAGTGTTACCAGTGTGGTGTGTTGAGATGATTAGGAGAGATTTACTCACTGGTCACCGGTAACCTTATCTTGAACGTGCAATTAGTTTGAAACCATGCTATGAGGGAGGCATTAATGGAGGCGAGGTACTTACTTCCTGTCCTGATTTCCGTGATTTTCTTGACATGTTGTTTCTCAACACTGATATACTGCTTTTGGATATTTTGAAATTGTAGGTGGCAGCTCACATTTTGCTGGAGAGAGCTTTTGGTAAAAACTATGCTTCAGATAAGGTAAGCAAAGTTTTGATATCTAGTTTTACGAGGGGTGTAATCAGTAATGCATGTGTTTTGCATCAACATCGTCGAGGACAAGTTTTCTGTAATGATAATGTAACTATCTTCAAAGATAATTCCTTCAATTTTCAACCTTTCATTCCTTTGTGCTGAGTTTTTGAGATGTTTTGCACATGGCTAAGCTGCCTTGATTCTTTTATCTGTGACAATTTTTGTTGTGTCAAACACCTTGTACATTGTTAAAATGGTAGAACTTTTTTAAGAAAAAAAATTGAGTTACTAAATTCAGATTTACATTAAAATATTATTTTCTTGTCTTTGAATGGTCTAAAACAATTGTTCTGTTTTTCCTTGTGAAAGTGTAGTTCAGTGGAGCAAGGAGATTACGAGATGCCAATGTCCTTGGTTATCAATCACAAAGGGTCCCAGGACGAGGTATCAGCATCCCATAATGGTATTCAAGTGCTGAAAATTTATTCTTTGATGAGACACTGAATTCTTTATTCTTTTAAAAATTTTATGCAGCTCTTTCCAGATGCACTGATTATTTTGAGATTCTACATGGAGATCTTCAAGGTCTTCCAGATACAAAGAGTTTCTCAAAGAGGTTGGCAGAGCTAGATACTGCAAATGACTCTGAGAAGAGTTTATCAAAGAGGTTGGCAGAGCTAGATACTGCACATGACTCTGAGTAGAAGACTACTTGTATGCTAGATACTGCATACAAGTTAACATTTAACTTGGCCTATGGCTGGTTTTTTTTTTTTCCTTTAGTACGAACAAGAACGGTCATTGAATTCTCATATGATATGGTATTTGAAACCTTCATGTTCGGCATTGAAATGTCATGTTTTATACCTCAAAAGGATGAAGATCTGATATCTTCTCCTCACCCCACCCGTGAGCTGCTTTCCCATAGTCCCAATAACCGACCATCATTCTAATAGTGGCGAGCTTTCAGTTTTACAAGGACCACTCTGCCTGCTTTCTTTGTGCCCATGAAGGCAATAATGGGACATCGGCATGACAATCACTTTTTCGCCAGTTTAGTGTTTTCCTCTACTTTCTCACAAACCAAACAAAACCTAAAAAAAATAGATAAACTCACCAATGTTCAATCACAATTTTTTTTTTCATTGGATAATTGATTCCTGTTGTGATTAAAGTCCCAGATTGACTGGTAACATCAATTTCAGTTTGTTACTTACTATAGGTTCCTGGCATTCCAATACATGCAATAATGCAGGAGTTTGGCTGGGCCTAATATGCACAGCAGATTGCTCAGAACCAATTAATGGCCTGCAAATCACTTTGTAAAATGACAGCATCATTAATTTGCTCACACATTGCATGAAAGTAAATGGCCACAATATCGCAGTTTGAAATATGCAGCGATGCACAAATCGCTACCACAGTGATGATACATTTTGAATGTGGGTTTTGCAGTAAAAAAATTAATATCTGGTGGAATAATAAGGCTGAAGTTGTCATTCAAATTAAAAAATTCTAGTAAATGATACGTTGTTTGAGAAACCTTTTTGAACAAACTGTAGGCTGGAGATGTTTGCAGTTGCATCTGATTCCATCCGTGTTCCCTATCTCTTAGTTTACTTGGTTGTTGCACTTGCACAAGATTCGTGCTTAAACTACTGTATGTCCTGAAATAATGTATAAATTGAATGGATTAAGGTGGCCATTGTTCTTGATACCTTCCATAAGCAATCTTAATGACACTAAGGGGGGTAAAGAATTCCTATCCAATTTTATTTTATTTTTTCAAAAAAGAAAAATTTACGGAGTCACATGATAGCTTGCTCTTGTAAATATTGGAATATTTCTTCTGAGAACTCGAAAGGAAAGAATAAAGGGCATTTCTTAGGGAAGACAATTATCCCAAAAACCATCATGAGAGCAAAGCTCTTTTTCTTCAGTACATGAAATTAAGATTCCATGGCCTTTCCCAATGCACTATATATACATCAAGTAATAGATCATCTGAAGCACCATCAAATCATAATCTCCCTTTTTTTTATTTCTCCTCTTTTCTCAACCAATCAATTACTCCCTATATTGCACATTTCCAAATTTATTATCCTTTTATTTCATTTTAACCTCTCTCAACCATTCCTTAGTTCTGAAGAATATGGCTGATGCTCTTGTTTCCGTAGTCTTGGAGCAGCTGAGCTCAATCATTATTCAGGAAGTGAGGCTCGTCGTTGGTGTCAAGAACGAGGTTAAAAAGCTTACCAGCAATTTCCAGGCCATCCAAGCTGTGCTTGCCAATGCAGAGGAAAGACAGTTGAAGGATCAGTTGGTCAAACATTGGTTAGATCAGCTCAAAGACGTATCTTACGACTTGGATGATGTTCTGGATGAGTGGGGCACTGCAATTGCAAAATCGCAAAGCAAGGTAAATGAGCATCCCCGCAAGAATACAAGGAAGGTATGCTCTTTCATGATCTTCAGTTGCTTTCGTTTTAGAGAAGTTCGTTTGCGTCATGATATTGCTCTTAAGATTAAAGAACTGAATGAAAGAATAGATGGCATTGTGGTTGAGAAAAATAAGTTCGACTTCAAGTCATCTAAAGTGGAAATTAAACAGCTTGAACATCGAAAAACCACTTCTGTTATAGACGTAGAAGAAGTTAAAGGTAGAGAAATGGATAAAGTCAGGGTTATGAAAATGTTGTTGAGTGAGAGGAGTCAAGGACCAGCCCTCCGTACAATCTCTCTAGTAGGGATGGGAGGGATAGGAAAGACAACCCTTGCTAAGCTAGTTTATAATGATCATGATGTGACGACCCACTTTGATAAGACAATATGGGTTTGTGTATCAGATCCTTTTAATGAGATAACGATTGCCAAGGCAATCCTTGAAGATCTCATGGGGTCTGCACCAAATTTAAACGAATTGCAGACTTTATTGAAACATGTCCAAGAATCAATTAGGGGAAAGAAATTCTTACTTGTCCTAGATGATGTGTGGAATGAAGATTCCACAAAGTGGGAGCAACTGAAAGACTCCCTCAAGTGTGGTTTGCCTGGAAGTGGGATTTTGGTGACCACACGAAAGAAGAATGTCGCGAGTAGCATGGGCTCCTCACCCATTGACATTTTAGAACTAGGAATTCTCTCTACGGAGGAATGTTGGTCACTGTTCAGTCAGTTCGCATGTTTTGAAAAGACCAGTAGAGAGTATGATAATTTAGAAGATATTGGTAGACAAATTGCAGCAAAGTGTAAAGGCTTGCCTCTTGCTGCAAAGACTCTAGGAAGTCTTTTGCGCTTCAAAAGAAGCAGAGCAGAGTGGGAAAGTGTCTTGAACAGCCATGTCTGGGAGATTGAAGAAGCTGAAAGCAAAATTTTGGCTCCTTTATGGTTGAGCTACGATGACCTACCCTCTGATATGAGACGGTGTTTCTCATATTGTGCAGTCTTTCCAAAAGACTTCAGATTTCGGAGGGATGCTTTGATCAAACTGTGGATGGCACAAGGTTTCCTTCGGAAAACACAGAATAAAGAGATGGAAGTAATGGGTCGTGAGTGCTTCGAAGCCTTAGCTACTCGCTCTTTCTTTCAAGATTTTGAGAAAGACGAGGGTGATGGCAGCATTTATGAATGTAAGATGCATGACATGGTGCATGATTTTGTGCAGAGTTTGACAAAAAATGAATGTTTTAGTGTAGATATCGATGGTGCGGGAGAGTCGAAGATAGACTCCTTTTCTAGAGATGCCCGACACTCCATGGTAGTGTTCAGAAATTATAAAACCGACCCCTTACCTGCGACCATCCATACTTTCAAGAAGCTTCGCAGCCTGATTGTTGATGGTCGTCCTTCATCGATGAATGCAGCCTTACCTAAATTAATCGCTAATTTGAGTTGTCTAAGAACATTGAAGTTGTCAAGGTGTGGAATAGAAGAAGTCCCATCCAACATAGGAAAGTTGATACACCTGAGGCATGTTGACTTGTCTTGGAATGAGATCAGGGAGTTACCTGAAGAGATGTGTGAATTGTATAATATGCTAACTTTAAATGTCTCGTATTGTAGGAAACTTGAAAGGCTGCCTGATAACATAGGAAGACTAGTCAAATTAAGACATCTCAGTGTTGCTAATTATGGTTTGTAAAGATGAGAGGAGTTGAGGGGTTAAGTTCTCTTCAGGAATTAGATGAGTTCCACGTGAGTGGTAGTGGTGAAGTGTCTAATATTGGGGATTTGAGAAACTTGAACCACCTTCAAGGATCTCTTAGGATAAGATGGTTGAGAGATGTGAAAGATCCTGATGAGGTTAAGAAAGCAGAACTTAAGAGCAAGAAACACCTCACTGGGTTAGGTTTACGGTTTGAATGGAGGACAGATAGGAGGATCATTCGCGATGATGAAGTCCTTGAAGCCTTAGAACCCCCTCCAAACTTAGAATCTTTGGACATACATGCTTACCAGGGAATCATCCCAGTGCTTCCTAGTTGGATTAATAAACTAAGGGTTGTCAGACTGAAGGATTGGGACATGATTGAGAATCTGCCTCCTTTGGGGAAGTTGCCATCTCTTGAAGATTTATCCGTACACGGGATGGGACGCGTGCGGAGGGTGGGGCGTGAATTCTTGGGATTGGGAGTTGATGGGGAGGATGGTGAGGATAGTGACATTAGTATTGGAGAAATGACATCATCATCATCGTCAAGTACTGTTATTGCGTTCCCCAAGTTGAAAAGTCTTTTGTTTGGGGGTATGGGAGAGTGGGAAGAGTGGGAAGGAGGACAAGGAGGAAATGAAGATAAAACAAACATCTTCAATTCAATCATAATGCCATCTCTTCGTTCCTTGAAAATTGTGGGCTGCCCAAAACTGAAAGCACTTCCGGATTACGTGCTCCAGTCAACAACTCTAGAGAAACTGAGAATCTATGACAGCCCAATTATAGGAGCGCAATTCGAAGCGGGAGGAAAGGGCTGGCCCAACGCCTCTCATACCCCAAAAATCAGGGTTCTTTACTACCCATAGATTAGATGAGGTAAAGTGTTCTTTTATAATTAAATCTAACGTCACATTCTTTTGTATCTATATATTTATTTAATAGTAGAAAAGGGTAGCACTTTTATGTATAATTTTAGGAAACTGATCTTCAACTTAATTCCTCCTCTTAATTGGCAGTACTGTTAGGAGCTCCCTAATTATTGGCAAGGTTTAATACGAGAAAGAACAGCAACAATAGATAAATGGCTGCAGGTAACTTCTATATATATGTAATTAGGAACTAACTTCCTCTTTTATTTATGTAATTAGGAACTGTATAATTAATTTTGATAAAAGAACAATAGCTTTGATGAATTAAGTGTATCATCCATCAATTTCCTAGTTCGACTGTATAATCATCTTTCGTGTTGCCATGCAGGCGCCTCACTGACAACCTGTCTCGGTGCTCAAATCCATCGGAGGAGATGTGTATATATATCATTTAATTAATTAATTAATTATATTGTTTCTGACTTTGCTTTTTATTTTTTTACTTATTGTTTCTTATAACAGTGTTTGAATATTATCTGTACATTATAAAAAAAACAAAGTTGATACCTTAGCATGTAAATTAATAATAGTGTTTCCATGTGGTTTTTCCCCTCATCTTGAGAGGGTTTTCCACGTAAAATTATCGTCTCCTTTCCCTTCTTCTATCTTTTTTCTCTTTATTTTTTTTTTTAATTTTTTTTCTTCCTGTTTTGCTGTTCCTTACAGTAAACATGACTTTCAACAGCATTTTCTTAAAAAATATTGTTTGAATGTATTCCACGTTAATTGTTGTCAATTTCATATTTTCTTCATTTCATTTTAATTTTTAATTTTAAAAATTATAAAAAGATGTAAAAACAAGTAGATAGGATGGAGAGTTTGATGAGGGATCTTTGTTGAAAACATACCATCCACAATGATCTAAGAATTATTTAATTATTTTTATGTTATAAATATTTTTTTTTTGTAAATTATGAGTATTAAATTATAATTAATTTGCAACAAGATAAAATCCTAAGCAACATTGTTAAAATCACAAGGTAACTTGTGAAATCTTGCAATTTTACGAGTTAACATGTATCTAACGTACTAAATTCGATTAAAAACTCTAAACCAGTAAAATCAGACTTAACTCGTACAAAATCAGTAAACGCGGTTTGATTTTATGAGTTTACTGAATTTGTAATATGAAACAAGCCATGTCCAAATTTGACCTTAAAATATCTGCTGATTAGTTTTGCGAGATTGAACATATCTTTTAAACTATATATTGGATAAAAGTGAATTTTTACAGGAAAATATTAGATATATAAAAATATATTGTGGTAAATTTTCAAGTCAAATTAAGTTAACAAACATAATATTTCAAATACTCAAATTTAGTAAACTAATATTGTTAAATATGTCAAACAATATTTTCATATACTATTTTGGACATATTTAAAGTTACCGTTGAAATTTTGTTTCGATTAAAGTTAAGATATAAACTATACATGTGAAACTTTCCAACTATATATCCTAAACTCAGTAATTTATCCAAATGTGAGAGAATGACATATTTGAAATTAGGTAAGAACAATATATTTGAAATTAAGACTCAAATTTGCCAATAATATACAAAAATTAAAGATTCATGTCATATAGAGAAATTTTAACATGAAAATATTTTTTATTATTTTATTTATTTAATTTTAAATAATTATTTTTAATTTAAATTTTTTTTAACACATTAGACATTATTTATAAATTTATTTCATTATTAAATTTGTATTAATTAATTACTAATTTAAACTTATTAGCTTGCAATGTAAAAGGGAACATTTAGGTTACCAGTGAGTTTATATATGTTTCATATCTTTTTAGTAATTTTCCTGTATTAAAAAATTTTATTCTAAAATTTTTTATTTCTTCATGAAATTAATTTATTAATTCATAATATTAATTTCTCTTATTTTATTTAGATTATTTATTGATTATAATATTATTAATTTATTTTATTATATTTTAATATAATTTAATTTATTGATTAAAATTATCAATATATAATTATTTAAAAAATTACTTATAATTTTACTATTTAAATTTATATTATAATATTTTTTTGTATGATGTCAAAAACAAAAAATATTATTAACGACCTTCATCCCAAGCATATGGAATTTTTTTGGACGGGAAGGAGACCCACGGAACCTGGATACATATCGAGTCCAAACCCTGCTGGCACCTTCTTCCACGTGGTACAATCTTATCCTTTCAACCCCTCATCACTTCCGATCACCCCACCAAACCCAATCACAGATCGTCCCTTGACAAAAAGCGCGGGAAAACGAAAAAAAGCCAAAAAAATAAAGATATAAAAAAATAAAAAATCCGACACGCGAACCATTTCACGGCTCTCCACGCACGGTGAGAAGGAAGCCGAGCTCGTCCGGACTCTCATTTCGTTCTCGTTTTTCCTTTCTTCCTATGGCGCCTAGAAAGAAGGCTGAAGAGACGAAATCGACGTCGTCGGAGAAGCCAGCGACTAGGAGGTCGGCTCGGATGACTCGGAGCACAGCTAAGCGATTCAATGCGAAGCTGACTGAGTTACCGACCGAGTCGGGAAAGAAGAGAAAGCAAGAGAAGGCAGCAGAGAGTCAGAAGAAGAAGGTGAAGACTCATTTGAAAGAAGAAGCGGAAACTAAGACTTCGTCTTCCTCGGAGGCTGAGGTGGAAGGTAAAGCAGAGGAAGTTAAAGAAGAAGAACCGGAGGCGAAAGAAGAAGATGCTAAGGAAGAGAGTCCCGCTGGTGATGCAGTTACTAAGACTATTGTGATTGAACATTGGTGAGTTTATCTATTTTTTTTAGGTTTTGTTTGGTTTGTGAGAAAGTAGAGGAAAACACTAAACTGGCGAAAAAGTGAGTGTTCTTTTATTTAATTAAGCGAGTGTTTTCTTATCTAATTTCTTAAAAAATTATGTGAGTGTTTTTCTGGTTTTGGGAGAAATAATAGTGGAGTTAGGGTTTTAGGTACTTGGTTTCTGATTTATTTTTCTTCTTGGTTGCTGAGAAAATGGAAGAAGGTAGAGGAAACTGCGTTGAGATTTCAAGCCCTGGGTTTTTTTTATTTAAAAGTGTGAACTGTAAATTAGGCTTAGAAAAGTGGTTTTTTCAGTCTTGAGAGGATTGGGGATTTTTGTTTCTAGGGTTAGTTGAATTCGTGATTGAGTATTTTACTCTAATCAATTTTGACTCTCTTTCCCCGATTGTGGTTGGTTTGAGTATTTTACTCTAATCACTTTTGACTCTCTTTCCCTGATTGTGTTTGGTTTCAAAGAAAATAGAGGTGCAATGAAAGAGGGTTGATAGAGTTGTTTTTCAATAAACTTGGGGGTGGGTTTATTTTGAGTAAGCGAAATTAGATTAATAACTTTTTGTTTTTGTTTTGGTCAATTTTGATGTCTGTATTCACTTTTTCTTGTCTTTTTGGGGTTTGGAGAAATAAGATATAGTATTATTGTTTCTAATTAGAAAGTCTGTTTGGCTGCCCAGAAATTGTTTGAAAGGAAAGGGTTAAACGGTTAGTGTCCCATCCCAGGAAATTAATTGGAAATGCTGTTTTGTTTTTTAAAATTAATCTGGTTGTTTTCTAGGGAAAATGGAGTAGTCCTCTTAAGGTTTCCGTTTCTGGTTCTTGCTGTGCTTGATAGGAATATAGAAGCATTGTTTGTATCTAATCGGATCGTTTTTGGCCGGGATCTGTTTCCTTTGGTGTTTAGGAGGGAGAGTTGAAATCTACTCTATTTTAGGCGGTGTTTGTTTTTGCGCTCCAACCTTGTTTTGTTTTTGAAAATTTTTGAATTTTTTTTTAACTTTATTTTTTTGTGTTTTTGGATCGTTTTGATGGATTGATGTTAAAAATGAATTTTAAAAAATAAATAAAAATATTATTTTGATGTATTTCCAATAAAAAATTGCTTTAAAAAACAATCACTACCACTATATCAAACACTATCTTAAACTTTGATTGGACTTATATATCTTGGCTTGAGGTTATTTGATCTTTTAATTTTTTTTCCTGTTAGAACCTGTAGCAGTGAAGTTGAGTATTTTCATTTCATGTGTTGGATTTTAAAGAAGGTTGAGGAACTTGATAGAGATAAAAACTTATTTATTTGTTTATTTTGTTAGTTTGGAATGGTTTGAACTTCAAAATATAGAATGATGATTTTGTTCAGCATTATTTAGTTTTTCTAGTGAGTAATCTTGCATTTTAAATTACCAATATGAAAACATCTACTTGATGACTGAGGTGTGTTTTCATAGGAAAGTTCTGTTGCATAGGGCATTAAGTGTCATTATGATTCAAGGAATTATTGCATAAGTGTTTATTCATGTATTTGTTTTTGGTCAATATGCCCCTAGCTAAGTTCCTCGTGCTAAAAAATGAGGCTTCTATCATATGATGCATTTTCTAATCCATATGTTGATTCTTGCAGCAAACAGTGCAATGCATTCAAGACAAGAGCTATTCAGGTGAAAGATGGTCTGTTGAGTGCCTTTCCTGGTATCTCTGTGTTACTCAATCCTGAAAAGGTACTTTTGCTGGGAGATCTAACTTCTTTACACAGCTATTAGTTGAATCTAGCCTTGAGCTTCTTTCTTGTTTGCCAAAGACATTGAGTTAAATGATGTTTTTGATAATCTAATGCTTTGTGTACATAGGTAAATTTCTTCTTTAGTGCCCTTCTCATGGACACCCAATCTCATACACTGAGGGAAATGGCATAATGCAGCTATTTTTAAATTTTGTGGTGGGAGCTTTTCAATAATCCAAAGTGTTCTGCATTTGGCTCAAATTTAGTTTTAGAAATCTGTTGTATCATGACCTTTTCAACAATCTAATGCTTTGTGTGCTTGGATGAGTATCTGGTACAGTGCTCTTGTTGTCAGAACTTCTTTATGTGCGTGAAAAGGCAGATTTGTGGCTAGTTGATTTCTTTTGTTGAGGGCTTTTACTTATTGCATTATGTATAGGGTCATATTTTGAGCATTGTCATATTTTGGAATGCTATGTATTATTTGAAATTGCAGTGAAAATCAAAGATTTACAAGCTTGGGTCATGCGTTACCTTGATTCAATTATGAATTGACGATGTGGTTATGTCACAATGGTATTATCTCGGATGTTTATGCTGTTTATTGCATACATTAGACATTTCAACATTGTTTCTTGTGAATCCAAACTCTACAGTTCTTTACGTGCAAAATATGGACACAAAAAGAAAGAAAGAAAGAAAGAAATGGAGATTGACGTTGATATTTTTTATGATATTAAAACCAAAACCTCGATGCATATGCCAAGCTGTTTATCATTATTTTGATTGTCATGGTCAAAGTTTTGTCCTTTTCCTGGTATTAGCCAAGTAATTGCTGTTGACGTCAACTGATAAGGTCTTTGATAACATATAGCATAGGGACAACAAGTTTTCTTTGCACAAGGATTATCTGCCATCTTACT